TTTCTCCAAAACGCTTGTTGGTAAACAATTTCTGATCAAAACTTCAAACTCTGGCAAAACATGGCTTTGGCCAGGCCTGGTGGCTCTCCCTGGTAATCCCAGCACTTTGGGAGCCCACAGTGGGAGGATCACACCAGGAGTTCAAAACCAGACTGGGCAACATAGTGAGACGCCATCTCCACAAAACAGAAGAATAATTAGCCAGGCATGATGGCACATGCCTATAGTCCCAGCTACTCCAGAGGCTGTGGTAGAGGATTGCTTTAGACCCTGAGTTCAAGGCTGTTGTTTGGGCCACTACCCCCCAGCATAGGCAACAGAGCAAGACACTGAATAAAATTAGGGGAAAAAAATGGCTGTGTTATGATTCCATGTCAGAGGGAGGGTATGGATGTCTGACAGTGGCTTCCAGTTGCTGCTGCCAGATTTTCGTTTCTGAATGCATCCAGAACAGCTTATCAAGGACTTGATACAGAACAAGCATTTCAAAATCAAATAAAATCAGATAATCAACAAAAATCAGATAAAAAAGACAATGTTGGCCGGGCGCTGTGGCTCACGCCTGTAATCCTAGCTCTTGGGAGGCCGAGGCGGGCGGATTGCTCAAGGTCAGGAGTTCAAAACCAGCCTGAGCAAGAGCGAGACCCCGTCTCTACTATAAATAGAAAGAAATTAATTGGCCAACTGATATATATATAAAAAATTAGCCGGGCATGGTGGTGCATGCCTGTAGTCCCAACTACTCGGGAGGCTGAGGCAGAAGGATCACTCAAGCCCAGGAGTTTGAGGTTGCTGTGAGCTAGACGCCACGGCACTCACTCTAGCCTGGACAACAAAGCGAGACTCTGTCTCAAAAAAAAAAAAAAAAAAAAAAAAAAGACAATGTTTGTCCTCACATGTGATCCTTAGATTTTGATAATTCTGGAAAAGTAGTAGCACTCACCAGTCTAGATGATTTTCCCTGACTCTGTGTAGATAGCTGCAGTTACAAAAAAATTAACTAGGACCATAGTAGATGTATTCTTCCAAATGTGGACAACACAAGTACAAATCACATAAATAATAGAACTTACAACTCCAAAATTGTTCTTTTAAAAAGGGTACCACGAAAGAACTTTTAAAAGTTCAACCAAACTTACTTTTTAGTAATCCTATGTGGAAGAATTGGTACTTCCTACGTGAAATTCTCACAATTTTTTCGTTTTTATTTTTGCAACATCATTTCCTCTGATTCCTCTTCTATTTTTCTGTAGCCACTTCTCAATCTTTTCCACTAACTCCTTTTCTTCTGGGAAATGTGGACATTCCCAAAGTTTTGTCACTGGCCTTCCTCTCATTCTACATCTTCCCCATTGTGGACAAGTTCATTTTCACTTAGGATTTTGCCTAATATTCCTAGTTACAACAAGATCACTCCAAATCTGCATCACCAACCTCAGTGTTCCACCTCCAGGTAGAAACACCTATCATGCAACTACCAACTGAAAATACTGTATACCAATATCCATTAAACTCAACATTTATAGAAAAATGTTCATCTTCCTTGTTGACCTGCTGCTCTTCTCTATTCACCTGACAATTGTCACTCCTTCCTCATATTCAGTTTAAATGTTAGTGCCCAACCTGGAAACTTATACATCATCTGAGATTTCTCTCCATTACATTCAGTAATCATTAAATCATATTAACTATACCTCCCTTCTGCCTCTGCTTTAAATTTCCACTGCCATGGGAAATATAAGTAAATCTTTTTTCTTAAATTTTACTTAAGTTTGTTTTATGTTTATAGTTCCAGGTTAAGCATGTGCTTTTAACTGGTGGCTTTCACAGGGAAAAGAAAAACAAAACCACAAACAATTATTACTACTTCTTATATGAAAAAAATATTTTAAGAAAAACAAATGAAAAAGGTCTAATACCAATAAAAACACAACATTTTAAAATGAATAAACCCACCTTGCTAACTACTTCACAAAGGATGGGTGAAAACCTCATGATAGATTGATACTAGTCCAAGGACTGGTAACCGGGAAACTTTGGCTTGGACTACTGCAAAAGCTGCCTTTGTCTCCCAGGTTAACTTCTATCTATCCTCTATATGAAAAGTCAGTGAACTATAGCCCACAGGCCAAATTGAGCCTGCCACATGGTTTGTAAAACGAAGTGTTACTGGAGCACAGTCATGCCTATCTGCTTACATATTTCCTATGACTGCTTTGACACTACAATGGCAGGGTTGAGCAGATGTGAAAGAGCTAACACGACCTTAAATATTTACCACTAGGTCCTTTATAGACAAAGCTTGTCCATGCCCGATTTAGGCCATAAATAGAAGGCCCTGAAACGCAAATCCAATCTTGAGACTCCCCTGCTCAAAATTCTTCAATGAATCCCTACAGCAAACTTTACTGGCTCCATACTCAGTAGCCATTCCTCCTTTCTTGCTGGAGAAACACAATTCTATTTGCATATTTATCATCCCAATACCCCTCCCCGGCTCCACAAAGAGAAATAATTATTCTAAGCTAATCACAGTAATTAAATCTGCTTCCCAGTGACTAATTTAAAAAGGAGCATGTGGTGTAACCCAGAGAATAAAATGTTACCCGGAGTCCACTGCATCATTCTGAGTTTTCTCCCTAGTTACAACAAACATATGAAGAAGTGCAGCCCTTACAACCTTTAGATATTGTCTTGTGAGAACATCATGTTTGGAACTGGTGCTAATCAGCCACCCAGGAAAGGAGACATAAGCATAACACTGCCAAGAGCACCCCTGAAAAAGGGACAACCAGTGGGATCCTGGTGACACCACTGAACCACGAAAACAACTTGGTTTCTATTGTTTCAGTCACTGTTCCTTAGGTTATCTATTACTTGCAGCCAAAGGCACTGAACCTGAGACATTTCCCATGACCTAAAGGATAATATTTATTCTTTTCTATAACATAAAAAAGTCTTTCACAATCTTGCCTTAGCTAAGTGTTCATCTCATTCCCAACCATTCTCATTTTATGCTTTTTGCACAAGCAAAACTGAACTACTCACACACCCTGCAAAGTTCAGTTGTGCATCTCAGATTTTGCACTTGCTGTTCCTTCTGCCAAACATACAATCTTGTTAGATGTTCTTTCTACCAAGCATCATTCTTCTGCCGCTCTACCTGGCATGCTTACCTGACATGTTACCCAATTTTTTAAAGCATGAATTACTTGCCATGGACTTAACCTGTCTGGCATATATTTAACATGGTAAGTACATAAGAAATGATAATTATGAGCTCGCAGAGAGCATCAGACACATAGTAAGCACTGAATAAAGAAATAATAAAAATGACAATAGAAATATAAAGCTTCTGAGTGTATTTCTTAGATGTTTGTATTCTGTAACATTACAAAAATGCTTATTGCCTAAAAGACACTTGACAGTTATTTGTTAATTGGGCAAGGAAATAAATAAATAAAAATGATTTTTGACAATTCTGTTGAAAAAACACAGAAATTCTATAGGTACAGCTCTAACTTATTATGACAACCCTAAAGACTGAACCTGCATCTATCATCATCTCCAGCAACTTGCAAAACCTAACTTATAAAAGTTCTTTGATAAATACGTACTAAATTAAAGGTGTCATCATACAGTACAGATTAGCAGGTGCTAATCCTAGGTGTCACACCTAAAGCGCACAGTACCATTTTTGTTATTGTGAAATGTTATTGTACTTTTATTACAATTTGTTGAGCCTAAAGTTAATCCGTTGGAATAATGACTATGATAATCTTTTGGCTAATGGTAACAGGGTATCCTATTCTAATAAAATTACTGTTATGACGACAATTACCTGGCAGATAGAAGAATATATCTTGTTTAATGTTAATAAATCTTGTTTTAATGAAGTAAATATATCTCATTCAGTTTCAATTTATGAGTATGAGGTCGATAATAGTGAGACCATGTTAGTATAAAAACATGTAAGATGGTTTGTCCTTCTCAACAAGGAATTTCATTTCTGACTTCTGTACTCAGTATCTTTAAAAAATAATCTGCTGTTGGCAGTGGTGCACACTGGCCAAGTTTTACAGTTCTTATTGCTATTTGTTTACGGTACCAGAAAGCTATTTTTGAGTTCCCAGTTTTAAAGATAGTTCCTTTCTTTCTCTTTTTTTTTTAAGATAATTCCTTTCTTAGTAACAGGAATCACTATGTAATACCATTGATCGCTGAACAACAAGGATCTGAACTGCAGGCGTCCAATCATAAGCGTAGTTTCTTCTGCCTCTGCCACACAGAAACAACAGCACCAACTTCTATTCCTCCTCCTCAGCCTACTTCGTGTGAAGATGATGAGAACAAACACCTTTCTGATGATCCACCTCCACTTTGTGAATAGTAAATACAGTTTTTCTTCCTTATAATTTTCTTAATAATGATTTTGTTTTCTCTAGTTTTTTACTGTAAGAATACAGTATATAATACATACAACATACAAAACATGTTAACTGACTGCTTATGTTAACAGTAGGCTATTAGTTAAGTTTTGAGGGAGTCAGAAATTATCCACAAATTTTGACTGCACAGGGAATTGGTGCCCCTAACCCATGCGTTGTTCAGGTCAACTGTAATTAATATTCATTTCCTAGATATATAAATATAAATAACTCATTTTAATAAGAAGCCCAATTTATTATAATGTCACCATAGAGGAAACATATAACATACTAACTTTAAAATCTTTTTTTTTTATTCAAAAACATCAGAAAGCATTTTAGGGACCATAATTAAATGAAGACTTTTTTAGACAATACTGTTTGACATTATAAACTCTCTACAACTAAGTTATTAAATAATTCTGAATTCTAGATTACTAAGAAATAAATTTTAAAAATACACATGCAATTTACAGATTGACTTTTTAACTGCTCTTCTGTGTTCAAAACTTCCTTACTCTTAATTTTTTATCCCTAGAACCACCAAGAGTAATTCACTATCAGAAGTCTTACCTAGACTGCTATTTTGAGCATTGTCAGGCATCTTTTCTTCCTTATCTTCTGAAGTTTGGTGGTGAATGCTATGTATAAAAATGTAATAAATAATATTACTATTTTAATGCTGATATGAAAACATTTACCAAATATATGAAATTCTCAAGAGTATTTCAATAAAATCAGAGCTAATATCAGAACTTTAATTACCCCATATACTTCAAATTTGTAAGCTCTGCAAAGTTCTTATTAAGCTTCTAATTAAAGAATTAAAAGGTAAGGTGAAGTCCTCATGAAGTGTGTGCAGTATAGTTCAGTCAACTAACTAGAGTACGCTTGACATAATGAAAACTGTCCTGAACTTCAAAGAAGTCTTAGCACTATAAGCAACAGCTATTTGTTCATTGACAAGTTGCTTTTTGTAGGCTCGACATCTTCAAAACATGAGGATTTTTCTGCCTTCTGTCAGTATTAATAGATTGTTATATATATTTGATATTAATAATATAACATTTTTACAATGCTTGAAGAAATAGTGAAGTAATGGAATACTTTGTTCTTGAATTTAATTGCTGATATTACTTTAGAATCTCAAATGCAACCCATTCTGAAGCCAAGTATAGTGGCTGATGCCTGTAATCCTAGCACTCTGGCAAGCCAAGGCAGGAGGGTCACTTAAGCTCAGGAATTCTTTCCCAGCCTAGGCAAGAGTAAGACCCTGTCTTTACCAAAAACAGAAAAAGTTAGCGGAGCGTGGTGGTGAGCGCCTGTAGTCCCAGCTACTCAGGAGGCTGAGACAGGAAGATCACTTGTGCTCATGAGTCTGAGGTTGCTGTGAGCTAGGCTGATTCGACGGCACTCTAGCCTGGGCAACAGAGTGAGACTCTATCTCAAAAAAAAAATTAAAAAAATTAAAACCCATTCTGTATTTTTCCATAGCTTGCAATATGCAAATGTTGAAGTTTTCAGAAAATGTTATTAAGTCCTACTTTTCATTTTTAGTAGTCCTATTCTTTGTGGCTTGTAATTCAGGGTATCTCGGCTATTTCATAATTTGTAACGAAATTTATTAATAAATGTATTATCTCTTTAAATTAGATAACACAAATGTCCCCCATTACTGAGCTAATCAATCACACCAAGAGCAGAAAACTAACAAATGTCAAGACCTGGCTAGGAATGCTACTGTTCCTTTTTACCTACTCAAACTCTGAACCAGCAGATCTTCATTATCATGATGCTTAATCTCCATGATTCTCACCAAGTGATGTGGAAAGCAACAAGTTACTTTTATTTTTTCTAAGTTCAATAAAGGAAATGCAAGTTAACAATTTCTCATGTCTGAGATAAGTACCAATAACATATTTGCATGATAACATTATAGATATACAATACTCAACTCCACTGTCATTTCATAGTGCACTTTACACAATTCTCTTCTTAGTGAAAACCACAATTTTAATATTGGGTGACATCTGTTTTGCTTTGACACACACTGTTTCCTTGGAGCTAGTCAGCAAATAGGCAAATGATATTCAAAGGACTGCACAAAATATGGATGCTTCATAAATTTCCATACCATCCTTGAGAGCAAGGACCATGCTAACCTCCATTTTCTTTCAATTTTATTGTGTGTGCTGATGAAGCAAGCACAAAGCCCTGCGTGGACACTGATGAGTCATGGATGAGGCTTGGCCCTGTTAAACCCAACAACCTCCTGTTTATTTCTTTATTTATTTAATCAACAGAGGAGCCAGTCAACCAATTAACCTACTTTAGACTCAGAGAATTCTGTTGACTGGCTTCCTTGTGTGGTGGAATTTGAAAATATTTAATAAACTTGAAGTACAGATCTAAGTATTCATAGCTTGGTAGATTTTCACTATGGAAAACAGATCACTTGAGGGACCAACTACAAGACTGTCACCATAACTCTGCAGAAAGATGAAATGTAACTTTCCAATACCTAAGAAAAGGTACCACACAGGGGAAAAAGGAGGCTTAGCACACAAATCCACTAGCAAAGAAGAAAGGAAGCTCTAATATCTTCCAGCAACACTATTTGAAACTCTCTGACAGTTTAGAACAATCCCAACTATTTGCTAGAGGGAAGACAAACAAGGGCATCAAGGGATAACTTATCAAGTCTAGGCTGAGATGAGTGCACCATGTAAGGTTGCGAGAGTGGACGGGGGGCCATTTTGCTCACTGTGTGTGTGGCTATCGCTGGGAGGCCCAGCTGCCAGAGCAGGGCACTGGTGCTTTAGGAACAATGGTTGAGCATATGCGTCTATGCATGTGAACTCAAAAAATATGTAATGTTGAAGTCTAAGTATGGATCACCATGAAGACTGAGGAATGTGAATCTGTAAGGGCATCCTGGTTGCAAAGGTCAATCATTTCTAGATAGCAAGACCAGTGTCAAATGCAACAACAGAATCAAAGGAGACAATAGAATAACTGAAATGTCCTTTCATTCCCCTCCTTCTGACTTGTAAAAATGACTGTCTTCTTTGCACTTAAAGAAACCTTTAATTTCTTCAAAAATTCAAGGAGGAGGCTATAGGAGATAGCCCCTAGGGGACAGTACAAAATTTTCTGTTAACCAGACACTTCAAGACCCATATAACTAATTAGAAGAATCAAACATGTCACATGATTATTATCCCATGCTGAGGGGTTATTCTTTGAATGAAATGGACATCATTGATATCACTAAAGATAAAGGTCTTAAAACTCCTGAAATAAAGAATTCTGTATTTATTACTACTCTTAACAATTTTAGCCTTTTGTTTGATTTCTGGCTGATGAACTGGACTAACTCACTGCCATTCCCATACTACCTGAAACACACCATGAAATTTCACCTGATGTATAAGATACAAGACTTATAATTATTTTAAAGCTCAATTTAGTGTTAATTAGTCTTTTAATGTAAATACTTACATATTTAAACCACTAGCAGTGGGATAATCTTTTGCAGTCCATCCAAAGATATCTTCAGAGAAAACATCAAGATCTTGCTCAAGAAGAAGAGTGACTGTACTTGGTGACTTACAATGTGCAGCAAGCACAAGGGCTGATCTAAAATAACAGAGAGAGAACTTCATGCCTAGGAACTTTAATAAAGTTATTTAAAATGCAGATTAAATATACATTACCAGCTGAATATTTTGCCTGTCAGTGTAGAATTAACCGTTTACATGTACTAACTGGCACAAGCATCTTGGATGCTCAAGTGTTCATCTTTGCAAATTACCACCAACGTTAAAAGGAAGGGACAAAAAGGGAGCCTTTTGTCTCATTAAGGTATGACATAGTAGAAGTTGGTCATTCTTTGCTGAGATCACTTATCTAAAGTAAGCAAAGTATTAAGTGAAGTACTGTCCATGTCTTCCCTATTTTGTACTGTAATACAAAGTCAACTAGGAGTCAGTTAAGTAAGAGCTATCTGCAGGCTTAAAACAATTACATCAATAATAGTGATAAAAATAGTAGTCACATTAGTTTCAGTTAATGATACTGATGAGCATGCGCTGGGCACTGAATTAAATGTTCTATATATAATCTTACTTGTACACAAGTACCCTGGAAAGGTATATTGTTATTCTCCTTTTCATATGAGAATATACATTTGGTGGTAAGTAGTGTTGCCAAGGTCACACACTTAGCAAGTGGGAAAGCTAGAATTTAAATTTAAATTCTTATGTGAATCAAAAGCCTCTTTTCCCTTTATCATCTACTTATGGCTTATCTTCTTCATTAAAGAAAAATGTTATTCAAATAAAGCTGTCTTTTCTCATAACAATTAAGAAGAAAAAAACTCAAAATACATTAGAAATAAAAATGATAAAAAAGCTGATGAACCCACAGTATCTAGTTATAGCAATTGATAATCCTTTAGGAATCACCTAACATCAATATTCTTCAAAGAAAGCAACTTAAAGCAAAGAGTCATCAAAAAGACAAAATGATTTTCAACTTCTATTTATGTTTCATGTAGTATTTTTGAAGGAAAACTCTAGAAGAAGCAGAAGTTAAAAATATTATAAAAGGATTAAGAACTTCAATATTGAGTCATAAAGTACACTAAAAGTCCACACTTTAATAAAACTAATATGAAACCTCTTTAGCTGATATAAGATCACATGATCAAAAACATCAGATTACAAATAACAAATATCAGTCAGCATTATAAGAGATGATGAATCCTACTGCATACTGTTCTTTAGGTTGCTCAGTCCACATAGTTGCTTTTCTACCTAACTGATGATTTGTGTTGATATTTGTCACTGTATCCTCCCAAAAATTATGTTAATCTTCTTGTTCATTTAATACTTCTGACTTGAGTGACTCTTACTATCCTAAAATAACATTCACATTTTTTTATTTTTTTTTTATTAATAACAGCTATAACTTGGAGGTGGATACATTTTTTTAAAAACCACTAAATACTATACCTTTTCATTTTATCTACTGCATTTACATTTGCATTCTTCTTTACCAAAAAATCTATCATTTCCTCCTTTTTTCCACTTATAGCAAGTAAAAGTGGAGTGAGGTGATCCTGTAATACAGCAAAATCAATTTATCATTCACAAAATTTCATATTTCTCAATTGAACTGAAAATTTGATGTAAGATCCTATGAACTTAAACATAGCACACAGAAAGGAAATGAAAGGTAGTTTCATCCTCTCACCCCTCTATGCTTTCCCATGTGCTGCTCCTTCCCTGAGAAACTCCTCTCCTCTCCCTCCCCACACTAACTCCTGCCATCTCAAAAACTCATTTCAAACATTTATAGGTTCCAAGAATCTTTGTTTCTATCACAACATTTACCATGGTATACTGTCATTATTTTATTGTTTTCCATCCAAACCAAGAACTTCTTGAGGGCAGGGGTTGTATCTTTTATCTCCACATTCCCAAACCCTAAGATGTAGTAGTAAATGCTTCAAATATTTTTATTGAATTAATGATCTCAATTATTATATCCACAGCAATGTTTCTTAAATGACATTCCAAAGAGTATTTATTTACCAGAAGTTAAAGACTGTTCCCCAACAGAAAGATTCTATGACCATCTATGCCACAGAAAGGATGCAAAGCTGTATATCATATGTCCAGCAATGAAGAAATCTCTCAAACTTTGCCTAATCTCTATTTGACAATACTTTTTTGGCAAATTACATGTGAAGAATTAAATCTTGAGAGATACAGTTTTAAGAATTTTCCAGTAAATGTGTAGGTTTCCTCCAGGTGATACAAACTCATGGGATTCTCTTCTATCAGTGGTGTAGGACCCCAGGTGCCAATAACAGGCACCCTTTCTCCAATACTAAGGAAATGGACTCTGAATAAAGGAGAGAGGAGTCAAATGAACTTCAATTCCTTATTATTACGTGGTCCATGTTGTTTCTCCTATGACAAGATGAAAGATGTTTATCTTACCTGTTAGAAGCCTCAGTATGACTTTTCTCCTCAATTATGACAATCCTGGGATGCTAATGCACAACTACTTTATTATACTCTGCTTGTATCCTGATTTCCATTTTAATTGGTACTTACAAAGTTATTTTTACTTTATGCAAAATATAAATCAGAAATAAAAATATAATGGCTTATCAATAAAAATTCTAATAGTGATCTCTGTGGATTATCGCTAGCATAATGGAAGCCACTAAATCATTTGCACTTCGTAGTATCTATGCTGAGGAGAAAGATATAATGTTGTCTGAATTATACACAGCCTAGCCAACTATAACCATGAGTAACTTAGAAAACTTATAGGCTTTCTAATAGGAGTATGTTTATTTATGGTATATATAAAGAAAAATAGATTTTGTTAAAAAAAACTTCTATATTCTAAAATCCAATCATATTACTAATAGATTAACATATAATATAGATGACATACATCATCAACAAGTATAAACTATCTTGAAAACCTTGAAATCATTTCAAAATATACTATAAAACAAGATTTCTCCTCTCAAATGCTTATGTAGACAAAGTAGGTGACCTTAACATGTGAAGCGCCTAGGTGGGCACAGGAGCAAACTGGAGAACATACACCTTGTATAAAGGGGGAATATCTGCACAGCATAGCAAACAGTAATATGAGCTCAAGGGACAATAGGTTTGATTCTTAGGGGAAGCCTGAAACCCAGGTTCCTTCATGTCTCCTAAATTTTACATGTGGACTCAATTTATGGAGGCAAACTAAACCTAATTATGGGCTGCGTTTTGACTATAGTCCTTGTGTTCTAAAATTTGCTAAAGATGTTTCCAAATAGTTGTGTATAAAGCACATACATATATGTGATATCTTTCCTTAGTATCATAGGTTTTCCAAAATACCAAACCCTAACATGTAATAAAAGTTGCTATTAAGACTCATAATACTCACTTCAAGAATTTTTCAGACATCTGTTTATTTACTGTCCATTCATGTTCATTTTTCCCCAATTGTTAACCAAATTGTTATCTTATGTGGGGTTAGGGTTAGGGTTAGGGTTAGTTCATAGGACTGATAAAACTAAATTATTAAAAGAATTCCTATCTATGTTCTTAGGAACTTCAATGCTTTCAGTGTTTAAAACTGCCATCCTCATTATGCCAAAGCTCTATGAACTTAACAGACATACAGAGATAGTCCATAATACAGCTGCATCTGAATAAAAGGTTATGCTATGATTCTCACTGAGAAAACCCTCTTGTAGTAAACATTTGTTGAACGAATCCCCTGAATGTTAACAAAGAAATGTGAAATCCTTAAAGGGCCTGCTTCTACTTAATGAAAGACTGTCTATAAGCAAATTTCTAACAAGTTTCTGAATAGCAGTGAACAATTGTTAAAGAGAAGGAAAAAGGTGTTATTCTATAAGCTGATAGATATTGCCAATGATATTCTTTTGAACTGCTCAACCACAGAGCTAGAGAAAGGCAGATAAAGTCAGACTAATATTATTAGAAAGGAGAGATTTGAAGGAAGTAGCACCTATCAAACTCCATTTTTTCTGGCGATTTCTTTAGCTTTTGAAATATGGGAATTCACATATTATATTTATCTATTCAATGGTTCTTAAATATGAGTGCATCAGCATCTCAAGAAAAAATTTTTATTGCTTAGAGAGAGGGTCTTATGTTGCACAGGTGGACACGAACTCCCGGGCTCAAGTGATCCTCCTGCCTCAACCCTCCAGAATAGCTGGGACAACAGGCATATATGAGTGCACCCAGCTTTGGAGAAATCAGTTTAAATATATATGTCCAGGCCTTTTTAGATTTACTAAATCAAAGTCTTCAGGGATTAGCCAAGACTTGTAGATTGTTAAAAAATGTCCCCAGGTCACTGTGATACACAGCTCTAGCTGACAATCAGTGGAGTAGACAATCACTTCAGTGTCGTACCTCTCTCACATAGCCAAGTCCCTTTATCATTTGGAGATTTGGCCAAAAACAGGAAATAGTAAGACATGGAGTTATTTACCGAAAACTCCATTTAATTTTACTGCATAGAGTTAGAACAGGGACTAAGAAACTAAAAATACAACTTGATTTTGCTTTTTATAAGCTCTGTATCTCCCACCTTCCCAACAAGAAATTCCAGTGGAGTCTTGTCTAAGTGGCAGTTTCTACAAAAGTAGGGTAAGAAGTCAGTTAAGTACTTATTCTTCCCTCTTCTGAAGTCTTTTCCACATCATCACCACCTATTCACTGCCAATCTGGTTTCCTCACAGTCCCCCTAAAATTGATTTTTGGGCAAGTTTACAACTCACTAACACTCTTTCCCAAAATGAGAATTATTTTTCTGAAAACTGAAGAGCACTTTGTCTAAGCATATAAACTGGGAACAAACAAACACACAAAAAACATCTTCATTGTATTTTCCCTAAATTACCTCATTTCCAAACTGGCCTGCATATTTCTGATTGGTTTTTTTTTTTTTCCGTTTCCATTTTTCTCTCTTAAGATTTGCCAATTAGAGATAAGTCACTTTTATATAAATTACATTTTTAGGGAACTTGTCAACAGCAACAAGACTTCCATTTACTGTATAATGCTTTAGGTATGAAATTTAAGATAAAGTCTATTTTCAGGACATATTTGGCTTCCCTGGGTTGTTTTATACGAATTAGAAAAAAAAAAACTTGAAAAAACAAGTTTTCCTTTAACAAATGCACGGTTTTCACAAATATTAACCATGAATGTATAAAAGAAAGCTGCATCCTCTAATGCTTCTTTAAATGTTTAAATATTTAAAGCAAAATCTTAGACAATTATTTCAAACTATTTTCATTCAGGGAATATTTGAGCTTCCAAATATGGAAAATTAATGGTTACATATGTCAGTGTTCAATATTTCGAAAATAAAGTTCGTTGATCTATACCTTGTTTATTGCTTCTATATTTGCGCCATGTGAAAGGAGTTTTTCTGTGATCGATGTGTTCTCATGATAGACGGCGTAGTGAAGAGCTGTGTTGCCATAGACATCACTGTGATTCGGATCCGCACCGTGTTCCAACAGGATGGTGGCACACTCCTCTTCCTGGCATTGTACCGCCTATCAGTGTCAGATCAAGAAATACATCATAAATTCTAGGAATTTGAAAGAAACATTCCACAGATTCCACCAACTAGTTATGTTTAAATAAAATAAATTTATTCTTATTCTGTGTATTGAAATCAAATCCATCTCATACTGAAATAGATAGCTGCTACATACCTTAATCAGAGCTGTCCTTTTTTTACTGTCGGGGACATTGAGCTTGCATTTTCTGTCCACAAGGATAGTAACCACTTTTGGATGGCCATTGGCACAGGCCAAATGGAGAGCAGTCCTGTGAAAGTGAGAGGGATTTTTAGGAAATTGTAGTGCACTATCTTAAAATATACAGTAATTCAGGTAATTGTAAATTTTAAACAGCATGTTATTCATCCACCTTCAAAACAAATCAAATATGTAATTCTGTGAAGAAAGTACAATATTTATTGGCTCCTATTCTTCACTACATTAATAAAAGAGCAGCTTATTTGAAAAGAAAGAGCTTGGTTTTTGGAGTCAGTTCAACTTGGGTTAGCATCTTACTTTAACCTCTGTCAATTACTAGCTATCACCTGGCCTTTTCTGTGCCTCAATTTCCCCTTCAATAAAAAAGGCAAAAAAAAGTAGCTATTTCATAGGACATCCGTGTGATGCTTAAATGAGAATCTATACAAAGTATTGTGAACAGTTCCTAATGCAAATAATAGCTCAATGATCGTTAGATAATATCATTATTACTACTGTTAAACAAAGACAACATTTTAATTAAGTAAAATGATACAATTACACCTACTTTGTGTTTTTTCTTTTCCAAGACTAGAGATAACATTGTATTTCAATGATGCTACTGTGCTCATTTTCTCACATTTTAACATCACTGACACTGGAATGGTGCTTTTTATTCATGACTTATTTAAATTATAATGAGCAGCATTTAAAAACTACCTCATTGACAAACAAAATAATGGGCACCACACAATCAAGGTGTCCTATATTAAGTGAAATATGGCATCTACAATAGGTCTATGGCAGTTCTAGTGATATAATTTTGCCATTTATATAAATTTCAGAATCCCATTACTGGGCATCTACTCAAACGAAAACAAGACATTCTATAAAAAAAGACATCTGTACTTGAATGTTTATAGCAGCACAATTCACATTGAGAGATGTGGAAACACCCCAGTGCCCATCAACAGGAGATGGATTAATAAATGGTATATGTACACCATGGAGTTCTACTCAGGTCAACACATGGTGATCTAGCACTCTTGTATTACTACCCTGGACAGAGCTGGAGCCTGTTCTACTAGTGAAGTATCACAGAATGGAAAAATAAGCCATACGTACTCACAAGAATTGGTATTAACTGATCAACACTTACGTGCATATATAGTAACATTTGCTGGGTGTTGCGCAGATGGAGGGAGAGGTGATGGGTATATATCACCCTAATGGGTACAGTGTGCCATGCTGGAGAATGGACATGCTTGAAGCTCTAACTCAGGTGGGTCAAAGGCATATGTAAAACATACATCTGGCCCCTGTAATATGCAATAGAATATTTAAAAAGTTATGATAAAAGGTTGAAATAACAAAGATTTTAGAACCAAGTAATTCTTACTTTGATTTTCAAATAACTTCAAAGCAAAGAAAACCCAGGACTCAAATGAATAGATATGTCTCCTTTGTTCAATATTTAGATTTATATAATGTGTGAGAATCAGATATTTTCAATGTTTAATATTAGTATTTAATAGTGTTACAAATTTTAAAAGGGCAGTTAAAGCTCATCTTTTATAATTTTCCACCTTCAGAAATGCTTTCATTTGAAAGGAGGGAGGAAAAATTTTAACTGAATTTAAGTCCTAATACTCCAATTTTAAATATCTCAATTGCTCAGGCTGCTCAGGTAAATAGGAAGTTTTTAAGGATGGATGTGTCCAGAAAGATAACAGAATATGTCTGCTACATAATAGGTATTCACATTATGTTGGATGAATAAATGGATTAAAAAGAGTTGAAAAGTTCAATATTTTAAAAGAAAACTCTTATAAAGTGATAACTTTGTAATAGTAACAATCATTTATATTTGCTATTTTTCATTTTCATAATGATACAACTAAAATATGATTAATCTGAACTTTTTGCATATAAATAATACATATATAACAAAACAGATGCACATTATACAAATGTATATATAATAAAATCTTCAGGAACAGATAAAAAGATCCCCTTTACTTCTAAAAAGCTAAAAGTTGGCAGAAGACTCTAATCCACAAAAAAATTAAAAATAAATTAATAGAAATTTAAAAATTATTTCTGTCTCTGAATCATATTACTGCTCTTCCCAGGGATCATGTCATTAATAATAAACTTTTACTAGGACTTTTAAAGCATACATGCTAATTGCAGAAATCACAGATAAGAAAAAGGAAAAAAATTCACTTATAATACAAATGCCCAGATATACCAAATTTTATCACATTTTGTACATATTTTCAGCTAACATAAGACCACAGTGTGTTTCTGTATATGTATAATCAAAATGATTTTTATTCTTACTTGATATACCTAAATACTCTTCACATGTCAGCATACATATATATTTATGCCACCTTCTATGGTCACGTTTTTCCATCCTATGGACACAACCAAATTGATCTATAAAATCCATCCTATGTGTTCCTCTTAATACATTATTATTTTAAGAAGTGCTGAGAAAAACAAATTGTATGATCTCTATTTCTTGAGGATATTTTAGTAAAATGGAATTGATGTGTAAAGGGCATATATATTTTTTAAATGTGTAGTTACAGTTGCTGCCTTAGTGCAGTAGGCAGCGTGTCAGTCTCCTAAATGTGCATGTAGTTACCACCAAGTTGTCTATTTGAAAAGAAATCAGCAATATAAACTATAAGCACCAGTATAAGTATTTTCAATATTTAATATATAAGTATTTAATATCTTCATTCTTACAAACTTTGTGGATAGATTAACAGTATCTGATTCCTCTTTTAATTTAAAATCCTTCTCTTAGAAAGGACATTATTTTTTCCTACTTGTAGATCCTCAAAAAATGTACTTTGCCCAATTTTAAATTACCAGTTTTTTTCTTGTTCCCTGAGTAAAGGACACACTTACGTAGGTGTACAATGACATAAAATGGATACTGAATTTCATGCAAAGATGTTTGGCCCAGAATTCGATACATTATGTGAATTATTACTCTCATTATGTACCTTTCTATAATGTATATAACATAATGTTTTAAAATGTGTACATTAAAAATAAAACACCGTATATACTTGTGTTAGTTAAGTAGCTAAAATTGGCGATAGTTCCATTACCTCTTCTGTCTGTCTCTGGCATCCAGGACCTTCTTCTTCAGAGAAAGGACCTGCTCCACTTTCGCTACATCACCAGCGCCGGCAGCCTGGTGAATTTTGCCGAGATCTTTTTTCCGGATGTGGTAGCATGGCTGTAGGAAGGCGCTGTCACCAGCCTGGCCTTCCAGGCCGACCCTGGTCTTGCCCCAGCTGCTGCAGGGGCCGGAGGGCGGCGCGCCCTTGTCTCCCCCAAATGAAAAGGTCTTCTTCATGGTGGTGGCCGCCGGCTTCGGAGGAACCTCAGCCCACTCCCACCCCAACCCCAACCCCCTGCTTATTCCCCGCCTCAGGTGCCCAGTGCTATCAAGACAACCCGATCTGACCACAACCTTCTTTTCCTTTTCAAGGAAAATCTCAGCTTCCAATAACTGACAGGAACAAATCGCCAGGCAGAGCCAGGCAGCACCAAGCACAGCCAAGCACAGCCAAGTGGCGCCGTTAAAGCAAGTGCGCGTGCGCGCATCAGAATGTGACATCCCTGCGCATGCGCACAACTGCCAACGGAAAAACCGTACCTTCTTTGACGCCCCTGTAGGTGCATGGTGGGTCGGAGCTGCTAGGTCCCCACTGCCTGCATGTCGTGCACCTGTGCGGGCTGGCTGGGCTCGCGCGGGGCTGCCTCAGCGTCCTCGAGTGCACCACCCACTGGGTCTGGCCTATAGTGCCATGGCATCACCCTAGCTCATGGCAACCACAGAGCCCTGAGATTAAGCAATCCTCCTGCCGTAGCCTCCTGAGTAGCTGGGACTACAGGCATGGACCACCATGCCCAGCTAATTTTTGGCATATATATATATATTTATTTCAGCATATTATGGGGGTACAAATTTTAAGGTGTCAAATAATGCCCTTTCTCCCCCTCTCCCCACAAGTCTGAGTTTCCAGCATGACCATCCCCCAGATGGTGCACATCTCACTCATTATGTATGTATATACCCACCCCCTCCTCCTCCCACCTGCCCAATACCCTATTACTATAGTTCCTATGTGTCCACTTGGGTGTTGCTCAGTTAATACCAGTTTGCTGGTGAGTATATGTGGTGCTCGTTTTTCCATTCTTGGGATACTTCACTTAGTAGTATGGGTTCCAGCTCTAACCAGGAAAATACAGGAAGTGCTATATCACCATTGTTTCTTTTTTTTTTTCTTTTTGCCTAAAACTATGGTGTTCAAACCATTGTTTCTTAGAGCTGAATAGTACTCCATGGTATACATATACCACATTTTTGGATTAATGGCCACTTGGGTTGTTTCCACAGCTTTGCAATTATGAATTGTGCTGCTATAAACATGCATATATATTTTAGTTGTCCAACTAATTTATTTTTAATAGAGACAGGGGTCTCACTCTTGCCCAGGCTGGTCTTGAACTCCTGACCTTGAACAATCCTCCCGCCTCAGCCTCCCAGAGTGCTAATATTACAAGCGTGAGCCATCCCACCCAGCCCAGGCTTAAAATCTTGTTGCAGTCAAAAGCAACACTCTTTTACCAAACAGAATGTGTAGCACCCTTAGTTTCTGTTTACATATTGTGGAAGTGGGAAATAAAGCCAGAAGATATCTTGACCTACACGATTCTTTTCTAGGATTCATATATCAATTCCTTAAGTAAAAGTTGTTCTCTTACATGAACATATATCATCAAGAACATCACAGATAATATTTTAATGTTGTTAGAATTATTTTCAAAGAAAAAAATACCACTCACATCCAGTATACCTGAACTAGTTTATTTACTTTTTAATGTATTTACTGCCTGAAATCCCCTGGAAATTGTAAGCTCCTGAGAAGATAGAGGCTCTGTCTTGTTGTTGCCAAATCCTTACTGCCTAAAACAGTAGACTAATAGATGTTCAATAGTTGTTTTTGTTTTGTTTTGTTTTGCTGACTAAGCAAATTTATTCAGCCTTTTATAGTAAGATGTAGGCTGGGCATGGTGGCTCACGCCTGTAATTCTAGCACTCTGGGAGGCTGAAGCGGGAGGGTTGCTTTAGCTTAGAAGTTCAAGACCAGCCTGAGCAAGAGTGAGACCCTGTCTCTACTATAAATAGAAAGAAATTAGCCAAACAACTAAAAATAGAAAAAATTAGCAGGGCACGGGTGGTGCATGCCTGTAGTCCCAGCTACTTGGGAGGCTGAGGCAGGTGAATTACTTGAGCCAGGAGTTTGACGTTGCTGATGCCACAGCTCTCTAGGAGATGCAAGAGAATGAGACTCTGTCTCAAAAAAAAAAAAAAAAATCAGGAACCTAGGCCAAGTTAAGACTACAATGATAATCATGTTGATGAGTATGGTGTTTAGTAAACAATTACTATGTGCCAAGCCACTGTTCTGGTGGTTTATATACATGTACCCACTGAATCCTCATGTCACCCACAGACAGTGTGACAAAAACAATAGTAAAATATTAACTGCACAATTCTCCCAACTTTTATGTTAAAAAACTTTCATAATAAAATGTTTTCATGAAAATAATTAAGGTAGACACAATCATTTACTACCTTTAAATACAATGTTACTCCAGTTTATTCCACTTTCAATTTTCTGCTTTGTAAAAGAGCATTTATAAAAAAATACAAAATTTAAAAAAAAAAGAGCATTTATAACAGTTCTAACCAAGGAAGTCTGCAGAGTGGAAAGCCAATACCTGGGTGGTACTTTTCTCTACTAACATGGCTGGATGGTACTTACAGACACACCCTTCTCTCCCTTAGACTGCTGGGGCACAGGGAGTGCATCTCATTCATTTTGTGAGCCCTGGGCAGTGGGCATTTAATGTGTGGGAAGAGCAGGGTTTTGGAGCCAGAAGCGTTCATATTTGGGTTCTTAAACTTACTGGCTGTATGACCTTGGGCAAATTATTCATGGGCTCTCAACTTCCATGTCTTGTCCATAAAAAGGAAGTAACCTCCATTTGGCAGTCCAGAGGGTTCAATGGGATGGTATCAGTAAAGCACAGCATGTAGCTTCTAAAAAGAGCTTAAAAAATAGTAGCCCATATCTGAGATTGAGTCAGACCTGGATCCTTGGGCTGTCACAGAACTACCGGGGAACAAAATCCCAAAGGAATCACTAGATGATAGCAGTTCATTTCATCAAGACCAAGGTATTATGTCAACCCATTTCTAGGACAAACCTCATTCAACTGCTTCTTCTTTGGTTTGCTTTATCCACACCCTACCTGTTACTTGCAACATGCATCCTGGGGACTGACAATTCCGAGCGTGATCCTGGGACAGAACCATCCCCCTTGATGGAAAACTCAGGCCTCTTGAATCAGAATCTGCATCATAAAAAAATTCTCAGAATATTCAAGTTCTAGTCTACATTAGATGGGTTTTCTTATGGTTCCCTTTTGCTCATTGATAATAAATCTCATTTGTCATTACCAGAGCCATTACCAGTCCTTTACTCTCTTTATCTTACTTATAGTCCTAATTTCTTTTCATTCTTTAGGATCTGCTTCTCACTGTACTGTCATTTTTTAAAAGTCTGAACATGACACTCAGTCTTATCTTAACTATGAATATGGTAAAAAAAATTAACTTATTAAAGGACAATCTGCTATTTTGAAAATATTAACTATATGGGTACATGGATATAGTCCACCCCCCTTATCTGCAGTTTCACTTTCTAAGGTTTCAGTTACCCATGGTCAAACACACTGTGAAAATATGTGAGTACAGTAAGATATAGATAGAGATGATATTCACATAACATTTTTTTAGTATATTGTTATAATTGTTCCATTTTATTACTAGCCATTGTGGTTAATCTCTTACTGAGCCTAATTTATAAATTAAGCTTTATCATAGGTTTATATGTACAGTAAAAAACATAGTATACAATATATAGAGTTTGGCACTATGAAAGGTTTCTGGCATCTACTGGGGGTCTTAGAACATATCCTCCATGGATAAGGGAAACTACTATAATTAAATTTTTAAAACTTAATACATCAATAAGATTCCTCTTCTCAACTGCCAAGTTTTGTGTTGTCATGATTGATTTCATATGCTCAGAGTATGCTGGATCAAGTCAAGATACCTCAGCCAGGCAGGTAAGGAAGCTCACATAGCCCCAACCTAACTGCTCAGTCTGGCCTCCTACCGCTCTGTGCCCCATGCTCCATCCTTCAAGCTCTCACAGGTCTCTGCAACTCCCAATAGCCCTAGTGACACTGGGAGCAGTGACTTGCATATCCTCTCACTGCTACCTGAATACTGTACTTTCTCTTTGAAAATAGTCTACTATCTGAAGGCCTAGTGCTGACTGGAAAATATGGAGGGAGTGCTAGAATTGGAAATCATAGCTTTGTAACCATCAGGGTAAAACCTAGTTTAGGCAAGAATCATTAATGTGAATGCATAGCACATTACTATGCATAACGTGAATGCATAGTACAAGAGAAAAAACTGTACAAGCCAGAAATCAGACACCATCAAAATGTGATAACCACAGAAGATACCACTCCATTTGTGCAAGTAAAACTAGGATTGCATAACTTGAACTTAATCATGTGGAAACAAACCTTACATAAACCCCAAATAAGAAATGTTCACCCACCAAAAAGGACTCTGTTCTAAAAACAAACAAACAAACAAACAAACAAAAAACACTAATAAAAAATACTCCAGGTTAAAGGAGATGAGAGTCATGACAACTAAACCTAATTCTAGGCTGGATCCTGTACTAGAAGGGAAAAACGGTTATAAAACACATTATCAGATCAACTGTAAAACTGGAATATGGATGGTAGGTTATGTAAAAGTATTGCATCAATGTTAAATTTACTGAACTTGATACGTGTACTGTGGTCACGTAAGAAAATTTCCTTATTCTTAGGAAACACACACATATATGAGGGTCTATGATGTATGCAATTTACTATCAAACAGTTCAGTAAAAAAGTACATACATATGTTCATTTGTATGAGTAGAAAGAGAAAGGAGGAGAGAGAGAAAGGAGAGGTGGAGAGAGAAAGGGATAAAGGAGAAATTGCACTTGAATGGGCACGTTGATGAGAGGATTAAGTCATTTGAGATCTCACCAAGGAGTGTTGATAGATTCAACCAAATAATCACAAAACTATTCCTCAGGAGAAGATTCCTTCTTCTTCTCCAAGACTGACATTGTGTAGTGATCATATCTTGGCATAAATACATCAAGCCAGGAAGGATACAACCAGAGGAATTTGGTACATTCTATAAGTGTATTTCTCAGATGTCAGGGAGCTGATGTAACAAAACATGCTTGCAGTTCCAATTTAAAAGTGTATTTAATTCAACCAGCACAAGGACACTGATTAACTAATTGAATGTAAAGAGTGTAACTAGTCACGTCCTATAATCATCAGCACAATTATGTGTTCCAAGAATTTATAGAAAAGCTAAAGTATCTTGTAGTTGAAATTTCATGCTGTATTTCCAAG